CTTCCTTCTGCCTGTATATTAAACTTATTTAAATTGTAAACCCTCTGCTACTGTGTTTGTACTGTGCTCAGCACAACCATTCCTGATTGGTTTTAGGCACTACAGTAAGCATGACCAATAGGGAGGTGCTGACACCATACAGCTGTGTTTGAACAGAGGAGAGTGGCTGCTATCAATTACTGATCTGGATGAAAGTGCTTAGGAAATGCAGTGATGGGCACTACAGAAAACTCAAGGACAGGTAGATCACTATGATAAAGTCTAATGCTTTGCAGCCCCCAGTATAGCTTAAACAGCATGTGTGCCCAGAATCCCCACAGTGCTGCATTTTACAATCTCATCCTGACATATACTGCCTGCTCAAACTTTTTGCTTGTAAGTGGGGCGGGGAGGGTCCTGTGAAGGCAGTCTTATGGCAGTCTTGCTCCTATCCTGTACCTGGGCTATGCTCTAGGACTTTCAGGGTCTTTTTACATCCTTCCAGCCTTTTATGTGGCATAAAAGGACTAGATTGGGGGTGATGTTCTTACTCAACACTGAAGTATTTATAGGTCCGTCAGCAAGTAGGAAGCTGCTATGTCTAAGCAGGGACTTTGTTCTCAGAATTAGAGGATGGCAAGCTTTAGATCCAGATTGTCATCACCTGGACAAGAGGAAGAGCAGAAAGTTGCAGTTTTTTTGGGTGAATGCCTCCTCTTTCGCAAGAAAGAAGAAAAGAGAGACTGAAGAGCCATTTATTTCCAACTGAGATGTGCAGAGGATGACCTCTCACTCCTTGAAACACTGCATCAATGAATTACCACGTTCACCACTGATATGATGCTTTAAACACTGCACAGATGTTAGCTAATTACATTTGACAGAAATATCTAATGGTACCTGTGGATAGATACATTAGGTCAGATTCTCGACTGACTCAAATGAATGTAGCTTGACTGATTTCAATGGAGATATACAGATTTGTATAAGATGGATCTGGATCTGGCTAGTTGTGTTTCCATTTCTTATCTGTCTGGGAAAAGCTGTAGTTTGCTGTTTTGCTAAGAATGACATCCTCAGTTCTGTACAGTATTCCACACCTATGGATTCAGACTAATGGAAAAATAACTGTCAGCCTATGTAATGACAGCTCGAGCATGAGCTCACAGACTGCTAAATCCTGATGGATTTTGGCTTGCATGTAATATCAGCTGCTACCACAAGATGTCATCCCAGGCCAGGTAATGGAGCATGATTTGCATGGCAGATGAAAGGATATAGTTAACACAACTCACTTTAGTAGAGATGCTTTTGTACCAACCATTGCAAAATGAATTACAAGAAGTGAAACATGAGGATTTAATGTGAGATTTGTAGAGAGGAATGACTCAGAGGGGGAGAAAGGAAACAGAAAGAGGATAAAGACTGAAGGAAGAAAGTGAGTAGGGTGGGGAATGGGTGGATGTGAAGCCAGAGAAGTAGAGAGAAATGAGCTCTGGAACCCTCATCCTGTCCTTATTTGATGGGATTCTTTTGCACGGACATCAGTGGGTACTGGATCAGCTCCCAGAGTTTCAGAGTGGGACGGGCTTAGAATTGGCCCAGGGAGAACTTGCACAGGAAGAACTCACACTTCTGCTTGCAGATAATAACTTTGATTTACCGTAACTGGGCGGTACATATTGAGGGCTACAGGTTGTACAGAAGGGTCAGAGTAGGGAGG